ATAATTGCAGGTGATCATAAGAATAGAAGGAAGATGGATAAAGAATACGCACTTCATAAATTTTGCTGAAAGAGAACAAGAATTTAATTAAATAAAATAATTAATTTCTTACATATAAAACAAAATCCATCATCTTGTGACTATAATAATAATAGATAATAATGTACACTATATAATATAGAAAAATTTATATTAAGAAAAATAAATAAAAATTTGCAAATGCATATTCTTATTTAATATGATATCTATGAGAATACATATAAAATCGGGTAAAAATACGTAACTCAAAATTTAATAGTAATTACATATGAATTTTTCCTTTATAAAAAGTATGATAAGCTTTATAAGTCAGAATAAATTTCATACTATTTATAAATTAAATTATTCATACCACACAAAATTAAATTATTTTTAAATAATAACAATTAAAGTAATTAACTTTTACCTCTGAGGAAAGCAGATTCAAATTTACGATCGAATCACCTCCTAGAACAATTGGTTGCAATATAATGACATTTACTTATAAAAATTAATACAATTATCATGTATTATTAATATATTACAATATCTATTATAAATTATTAATATATTAATGCTCGGAGGTTTTGTTTCGCTTGTTCTTCATAATGGAATAAGGTATATCATTATTTTATACTGCGGATCGCGGAGAGGTCATTTCGTTAACCCAAATACTACAGCACAGCATTTTTACTTTCACGGCGCGGCAGATGAACCAAACTCACTTGAGTTGTTTCAACGGATTATTACGCAGTCGGATGATTAAAGAGCCGCGAACGGCGGGCTCGATAACAATTTATCACCTTATACTTCACGGCAGATAGACATGTTCGGTGTGCGTATTCAGCCTGTGCCCACGCGGCGAGAGGATCACGATGAAAAATGATACCTCGCGAAATTACTGATATGCAGGACATAAAGTTGCGTTTGCGGTAAGTCAGATCGTCGTGAGATCTTTCTTTATCGAAATATTTTGGCACCTGTGATACCTTTAAACCGCAGGACGTACTTATTGCTAAATGCAAAACGAGAAAATCTTGATAATTTGATGGAGAAAGAGAGAGAGAGAGAGAGAGAGAGAGAAATGAATAAATAAAGCATTTATTATTATTCTATAACAAGCTCTATCTCTGTCTCTTTCACACATACACATATGCGCGCGCGCAGTAATTAAACGAAACCGTTCAAAGAAAAAAATATCGTAAAATAAGAAAAATAATATAAATGAAAAGATAACAATGAAAATAAATAAAAATAAAATAAAAGATAATAATAGATGTTACAATCAGAAATAAAAAATAAAAAGATAGAAAGAGAGAGAAAGAAGAGAGAGAGAGAGAGAGAGAGAGAGAGAGAGAGAGAGAGAGAGAAAGGAGAAAGAGGAAATCTGCTTTTAAATTGGAACAGAGATAAAGTTCGATTTTCCTAACTCAATGTATAAAATTAGGTACTTAATTTTGTTTCAATAGTTTCTAAGATTCTAAAGAGAAGAAAAATCAATAGGATCTACTATATAGGAAACATATTTGGCGGATTTATTATTTAATCACATCTTCGTCAAAATATAAATATTTTATAAATTGTATTTTAGAAATTGCAATTTTCATTTTTCTACGAATTTATTTGCAAAATATGCAAACTTATTATATGTGAATCGTAATGTTTTTATTCGTGGCGCGATCTATGGTCCTTTCACTCACTCTTTGAGTTCTTATGATCATTAACATCCAGCCTCAGAAATGATGAATACAATCATGATTGCTATATTAGTATCGTTAATACTCAATTTCTAAAGAGAAAGGGAAGACTTGTAGATCCTTTCCAATATGACGTATTCAATTTTATTCGTTTTTATTATAACATGTTTTTCAAATTATGAGAAGATCATTTGAATCCAAATTCTGCTTTATCGGCAGAAATCGGCAAGAAATCCTGCAAGAAGTAGATAGAGGACTCAAACTGATGTTTTCTTTGCAGATTTTGTGCGCGAAATTAAAATGATGATAAGAATCGAACGTAATTAACGCGCAAATTCCTTCTAAGGATTAGTTCGAGCTATAAAAATATTTGACATTAACATATAGAAACAGATTTGTTTTTGCGTTTCCTCCAAAGATGATTTTACGACATTAAATACGCTAATATCCAATTACGACTGGCGAAACTTTGCGTATCGCAAAGTTATAACAATTTTGAAAAAATGTCATAAATTTGATTATAAAATTCTTGTGTTTTCAAACTGCAACAGCATATAGAAAAATTTTCAACTAAGATTTCGACTCTTCAATTCATAGATTCTTCTGAAGAGAAGAATTGCTTAATTAATATACATTCTTGACAACAAGATTTCCTGAATCATAAGCAATTAAAACCTTGAAATTCTCATAAATTTAACTTCAAGGATATAAAAATGTTTACTTTCTCTGTTAATTTTAAATAGATTCCATTTCGGCACAAATTTGGCGATCAAAACATTAGCAAGACAATTTAATTGGAACGTTTAAAAAAATTATGATGTCTATTTAATTTTAAGGAATAAGTTTTTCGAACATTCAATAAGAAATATAAGATATATGTATATATGCTATTTAGCATATATGCATATATATATATATATATATTCTTATCAGCTTATATTTTTTGTAAATGTTCTTTCATGAGCAACGATGGGTGCAACCCCATAGCAGGCAAGATGATTACATCCCAGAATATATCATCGAAGATCAAACATTGACCTCTATTTAATAGAATTCGTGTCTCCCGATGGTTTCGCTTACACTTGTGACTCAATTCTATCAAAGATTTTTGTTTTTGCGTGTATAAATGTCTACTTTTATCTCAAGAGAAGGGATGACTACTGTCTGAAAGGATGTTCGTGTTGACACGAATCCTTCGACTTCTTGACCTCTTTTTCCTCCTCAGAAATCAACAATGCGCTACATTCATTAGATACAAAATTAAAGATTCGCAGTATCCGAAAAGAGATTATACTGAAACGAATCGGGCGCATTTCTTTTCCTGCTATTAATAAGAGTCTTTTTATATATAAATTATATTTGATACATTTACATTTTATAAATTATATTGGTATTTATTACAAAATTATTTTATGATAAAATATTTAAACTATTTAATTACAAAGCGTTTCTCGCAAAACAGAAATATTTTATTTTGGTAGACAAAATATGTGAGTACAATCAGAATTTTTATTTAAATTAGAATTTTTAAAATCTTTTTTTTCGTTATATTTATCATTAATGAAACAAAGCAAGATAATAAATATCTGTTTTGCGAAGATTTTTTTTAACATCTTATTTTCTGATTATTTTAATTAAAATACTGTCGTTTGCATAATCTTTATTTTTGAGAAAATAGCCAAGGAAGAATAGTCATCCTGTCGTACGATCATGATAAATGATAACCGAACTTGGGTATTCGGCTTACGTTGCGCCTGTCAAGGATCCACGGATTTGTTACACGTTGGCTGAATTTACAACGGTGCACGAAGTAACGAAAATTCACACAACGACATCACTGAGTCAATGGAATGTGGCGAAAACTCATGTCGTATTAAGTGGTCCCGCACTTCTTCGCCGAAAGAAAAATTTATGATCGACTTAGCGAAGGAAAATTTTATCTTTCTCCCGGCGCCCACACGAAGGATAATCCTTTGTTGCTGGCGTATTTGCCTCACAAGATTTACTTTGTCATCTTTTAATATTTTACAATGTGATTACCCTTCAAACGCGCACGAGTGTCGGATCTTGAATTTTGTTATAAATTTTCTGTACTAGCAATAAAGCAATTTATCTAGTCGTTTTAAAATAATTTCTAATTAATTTTCGAAAATAGGCTATTTAGCTTATCTACAAACACGTAGCTATTTTAGTTAAACTGGTCTTGGGTTTTGACAGCCTCAGGTAAGCGCATGCCATACATGTTTACTTTGTGATCCCCGAAGGCAGACTTGCTAAAGATATACGAATTTGCTTTCGCAAACATAAAGTGCATATTAAGAATTTTTATTAGCTATATTCATTATTAATCTATAAGTGTTCTCAAGTACTCAGAGTTCAATTTTATCCATATTTTAATTTATTCATTTTATGTATAAATTTATTTATTTTATGTAATAAAATTTTTTTTATAAATAAAATTTTTATTTTTATTTATTAGTAATTATAAACTGAGACATGTTTTA